TAGTTCTGACAGGGGACCAGCTGTGAGGACTAGTTCTGACGGAGGACCAGCTGTGAGGACTAGTTCTGACAGGAGACCAGCTGTGAGGACTAGTTCTGACAGGGGACCAGCTGTGAGGTTTAGTTCTGACAGGAGACCAGCTGTGAGGACTAGTTCTGACAGGGGACCAGCTGTGAGGACTAGTTCTGACGGAGGACCAGCTGTGAGGACTAGTTCTGACGGAGGACCAGCTGTGAGGACTAGTTCTGACAGGGGACCAGGACTCTGCTGGGACCAGGACTCTGCTGGGACCAGTGCGTCTCATGGAGTATGAAGCGTTCTTTACACAAGAAGACGATCAGCTGCTGTTCTCAGGTTTGGTTCTCTGATGTTCTCCGTTCTGCAGGAGAACCTCAGAGTTCTGCTGAGTTCACAGGGATGTTCTGGTTCCGAGTCACTTCATGTTTGGACCTGATGGTGGAACCACAGGACGGAGCGCAGTGAAGACAACATTATTGTTTGGACCTCATTTAATATAAATTAAACAAAGATTCACCTGGAACCAGAACCAGCTGTGACCCAGATGTTCTGACTGAAGCACAGCTGGAACCAGAACCAGCTGTGACCCAGATGTTCTGACTGAAGCACAGCTGGAACCAGAACCAGCTGACCTGGGGGTTCTGGTTCTTAATGTTTCAGTTTTTTTTCTGATGATGTCTTGAGTCGGAGCAGAACTCTGTCAGAACCGGACCCGAGGTGGACTCTGTCTCTGGTTCCACTGTTGATGCTGAGGAGCTGCTGGAGGGACAGGGTGGAGACAGGTCAAAGTTCATGCGAGACATCAGTTCTGACAGACGTCCTCTTGTCCACCTCAGTACAGCTTTATTGTCCAAAACGTCCTAACCAGGATAGACGGGGACGTCGTCTTCTCTGTTACCATGGCAACAGTTAGAGCGTCCACTTCAAACACCTGCAGAGACACACGATGGACAGAATGTCTTCGTTAGAGATTTGGAAAGAGAAGAAGAGGACAGGACTCGTCTTATACAGACTGTAGGAACATCTTCAGGTCCCTGGTCTCTCTGTGTGATGCGTTCAGGAACCATGTCTCTATGTGATGCGTTCAGGAACCATGTCTCTGTGTGATGCGTTCAGGAACCATGTCTCTGTGTGATGCGTTCAGGAACCATGTCTCTGTGTGATGCGTTCGGGTACTTTGTCTCTGTGTGATGCGTTCGGGTACTTTGTCTCTGTGTGATGCGTTCGGGTACTTTGTCTCTGTGTGATGCGTTCAGGTACCTGGTCTCTCTGTGATGCGTTCAGGTACTTTGTCTCTGTGTGATGCGTTTGGGTACTTTGTCTCTCTGTGATGCATTCAGGTACTTTGTCTCTGTGTGATGCGTTCGGGTACTTTGTCTTTGTGTGATGCGTTCAGGTACCTGGTCTCTCTGTGGGTGATCAGACACTTGCTGCTGCAGTAGCGCCCCCCGCAGGTGGTGCAGGTGTAGTGAGAAGGGAAACCGCACACGCAGCAGAAGTGACGGGGCGGCAGCGAGGAGGGCGGGGCCGCTGCAGACAGGTAGTTAGGTTCCGGCTTCTCCGACAGGTTCTACCAATCAGAGAAAAGAGGGGAGGAGTCAGCCGGCCTTCAGCCAACCAGAGAGCAGCACAGGTGAGAGGCTCACCTCTTCCTCCAGCAGAGTGGTGAAGTTCTTCCTGAAACGTTGCTTGAAGTGGTCCCCCCTCGTCTTCCTCTTCTTCTTCTCTGAAGACGGAGACAGAGGCAGTCAGAGGACAGACAGGAGGACAGTTTGAGGGGTGAGCTGTCCCCCACTCACCCGAACAATAAAGACCAACATCAAACAGGTACTCCAGTTTCCTCCCACACAACAAAAACATGCATGTTAGGCTGATTGGTAACTCTGAATTGTTCATAGGTGAGAGAGAGAATGAATGTCTCATTTGTCTCCAAGTGGTTCTGTGATGGACGGGAGACATGTCCAGGTGTCCCCGTGATGGACGGGAGACATGTCCAGGTGTCCCCGTGATGGACGGGAGACATGTCCAGGTGTCCCCGTGATGGACGGGAGACATGTCCAGGTGTCCCCGTGATGGACGGGAGACATGTCCAGGTGTCCCTGAGATGGACGGGAGACATGTCCAGGTGTCCCCGTGATGGACGGGAGACATGTCCAGGTGTCCC